TTTATGCAGGCTTGTATTGATAGGCAGCAGAGAGGGTGAGACAGTCTCAAAATAGTATGGCAAATCTAGCTTTGATTGGCAGAGTACTTGTTCTAGGCTGCGAAGAGGGGACTACTCAGAATCAGGGTACGCAATGTAGCCATTGTGAGGACCAATTGTTACCCGCATCCTCAGCTGATCTGCCATACAAGGCATGGTCAAGTCAGCCTCGCGGACATATGACCACATGTTGGTGTGCCCCTAGCCAGCAATTTGTCCACCAGGCGAGAGAGTTGGTTGAGTCCCTGCAGTTGTTACAAGTGGAACACTCTGAGTCGACAACAGATGGCGCGATATTTCCCGTCGCCAATGAAGGTGTAGGCTCGGTGCACCTGCGGGAGGTAATCACCGACTTTTCAGTATCCTGGGATACTGGAAAGCCGCCCTCCTCAGTTATAAAAGGCCCCTCGACTCCTGCTGCTTCCTTCTATCCCAATCTTCTTTACCTACAACCCCGCCCATCCCTTACCATCTGTCCGAAAGCATTCTTGACCATGACTTCCAATAGGACAACACCACAGCTGCGCAAATCTGACGAACTGCTAAAAGCCGACGAGACACTGATCACATTATTCGGCCAGGTCATCGATATATTTGCTTCAGACGTCAACGGTGACCTTTGTCGTATACCAGAGGTATGCTACAAATCACACCAATGATATATCTTTGACTGATTATAGTAGGTTCAAAGAAGTATCCAACAACTGTGTGGAAAAGCCCCGGAAACAGCGCAGAGTATTGCTGCAATAATCCAGGATGGGATTGCCAATTCCCGGGGACTCAAGCGCAAGCACGCCGAAGATCCTTCGTATCGCCCACCCAAGCCAAAGAGACAGAGAGCCAGCTCCCTAGCCAGCATATCTGGGGGTAACCCAAATCTCAACGAAACCCCTGGAATCCAGACCAAAACACGTAGCGAGCCCTCGTCGAAGCCTTCGCCGCTACCTAGTAACTATCCACCCCAGGAAGGCTACCGCAGTGACGAAGAGAATGGTGCGTTGCCTATAGGAACTCTAACAACAATGGCGAGCGAAGCTCTTGCTACAAGTTCCAAGGTACAAAGCATCGCTTCCGCATCAAGCCAATCCGAGGAGCTATTGCCCTATGTTTCACCTGACTCGGTACCGCAGAATGAGGCCCCATCTGCCAATCTGACTCCGGTTACTGCCACAAACCAAACGGACCACGGTTCTTCGCTTCGGACGGAAGAAATACACAGGGAGCAAACCCCATCACTCGGGAGCATCATTTCAGTCGGCCAATCTACACCGACGAGACTGTTCCCCAAACCACACTCCATTATAGACTCGACTGTTGAAGCTATCCGCACTATCTGCCACCTTAGCAAACACAAGGAGGGTGTTCCCTCAGATATACATATACGAGTTCTTCAGTCGCTTCAACAAGACCAACCACAAGGTAGCGCAGTATCTAACAGTCAATGGTCGGATGGTTCGATGTGGGTGCAGGTACTTGAAATGGGACAATCCCGAAAAGATCGAGACACTATACAGAACATGCTCGAATATATAGGAGCATGGGAGTGGTACGATATTCAGTTGGGGCTTGCCAAGAAAACAGTCACAACAAAAAAAAACAAACCAGTGAGGGACCGAGGTGCAGCGATGCATGTTATGGACCAAATACAAGACAGATGGATCAGCGGGGTGGGAATAGTTACGCTGCACGAAGATAAGCCTAATTTTCCATCAAAAAGTGGCACTGTCAGCATAACTGCGAAGGAAAAAAGTTTGCAACGAAGCCACATCAAAATGCAGCTCAATAGAGGCAAGCGGTGTACCAAGCTCGTGAAAGATCTTGGGGTTGGGATATTGTTCGATCAAAACATCTGGTAAGTGCCAAGAAAACGTTAGTGTCTTTTGTTACTAATACATGGTAGGGACTATGTTAAATTGAGCATAGAACAGTTGGATACCCTAGTGAAGGATATCCAGGCCGATACCACACATATGAAGCTGCTTCAAATCCTGAGCTCACAGCTAGAAAAACTTGTTAAGAGTGGATCGCCGAATCTTCACATGTTCTATAAGGACTTAAAAGAAGCCGAGCTATTGTCCGAAAATGATCTGCGTGAACTGCAAATACGTTTTGCCTTGGAAGGGGTAGGCAACCAGCCTAAGATAGTCAGAATATATACTAACTCGATTACTGAAGGACCCCCTGCCCGATGGTCAGCTCGACGCAGAAATTGATTGTTTGATCCAGGATATCAACACAAAGGTGCTTAATCAGACAACATTTGGTCGTGATGATACGATTGCAATAAACGAAGGCATAGGGATACTATGTAGTATCTTCGACAGACTTCGCCCGCGCAGGTGGTTGGATAGCTGGACTATTAACGCTCTCATGCAGCTCTCTGATAAACCCACCTATGTTAGGCATGGTCTAAGTGTCCCTTTGGACGAGAACCGCGGCGATAGTCATTTTCAGCCAATCAAACAGCCCCTAAGACGCTGAGCCATAGAGATGGCTAAGTTCCGGAAAGAGGCCGAACACCCCTCTCGAGACGCGGTCCCTTTGGTTTTTTTCTGCCCAATCAATCACAAAGGGAAACATTTCTCGCTACTCGAAATCAACGAACGCATGGATACAGGGAGTATCTGCGCAATAGTCTAAAGAAACATGGTAGGCTCTGGGGCACACGCTTCTGACCTGTTTCTCATTGTTATTATGTTTACCCATACAGCCCCGAACCATTTGTTACAATGTTACACTCATATATAAAGTAAAACAACAATAAACCATTTTATTTCAATCGCTACCAATATGGTCCAAGTCCAATAAACCCCGCAGTATTTCTGCCCTCTTTCTCCGCCTTTTAAATATGAAAATTAGACGGTGCAGCTTTGCCACCAGAGAGTCAATAACTCTCTATATCGTCCCGCGCTGCCACACCATTTACATTACTAATAACCTATATAAATGCTATTTTAGTCATGATATTCCTAAGCCTGCCGCCTACGAACTCATGGGAATCAGTGGAACAAGAGCGACTTTCTAGGGGTGTGCAAGTCTCATGTAAATCTTCATTAGGCACCGCCAGACACATGTAGTAGACAGGAATGTGTAGAAGCTTTTGATTAGGACTGCTATACAAGAGTAAGGTCTTAGACGGGTATTGCAGATATATAGAATATCTTGTTGGCTCGGCTAGGCTACAAAAGGGTGAAAATAAGAATATATTTACGTGAAAGTGCTAATGTAATGTGAAGCAACATAGAACTAGAATCTTGGTATGCCTGTTCTATGACTGATTTCCTCTTATGAGAATCCTCTTGAGACAAAATAAGTCATGTGAGCATACATTTGGAACAATCTCCGGCTTGGGATAATCACGACCATGTGAAACTTTTCATAGTCCGGTTAGACTTACGAGATAGTCGACACAGGAAGTGGGCTGTCTCAAGACAAGTCAATTCATATTAGGTTAGGGGTTACTCCAGCAATAGTAGATGCGATAAATATAATACCGAACAATATTTCTTGGTATTTAATAACTTACTGAAGCTTGTGGCTATTCTTAACTTTAATCCGATAGGCCATCCGAAAAGCCAAAGCACACTGAACTCGATACTCAACCAAACCCCCGCCACGGAAGGCCGGATGCCTTGGTCAGAGCAGGGTTGAGGTCGAGCTTTTATAAGAGCTTTCCGATAATAATGGATAGTCGGTAGACCGATGATGTCGCAGGAGCATGATAAGAGGGCCAGAGGGGTCTTAAATCTGCTGTAGCCGCCAGTTGTCGGGCCGTAGACCCCATCGGTCGTAGGACCGTGGTCTCAGCACCTACCTGGCCAGGCGCCCACGATCCGACGCACTGGGCGACACGTCAACAAGCTTTCGTCCCCTATCTTACCGCTCAGGTCTTCTGCCTCTGACCCTAAACCCCTGGTCCTAAGTGCTGGTCTTTCTGACCCTCTTAGTATTTAGACCCCTGACTTTCGTCCTTTGCCGACGTAGGATCCCTGGTTAATCTCCACTGCAGCCTCGAGACCTTCTTGGCCGTACGCCTGGTGATCTCAGACCAAGGTCTTTTAGTTCTATGTAGTTCTACCTGTATTTCATATAATAAAGTCACGGAATGGTTACGTGTATGTGCTCTCTCTCTCCCTCTCTCTCTCTGTGTGTGTGTGTCATTTCTTTGACCCCTCCCGAAGGATAAGCACAGTATCCACACTATATACAACCGTCTATCTACTGCTATGTACAGTAAAAACTACAACCGGACGAATTTAGTGCCTCGTCAAGGCCTGTGGCGGCCTAAGTGCCATTGTGTAATGTTAGAAATGTGTTGTCGGCACTGACTGTATCTCGGTGATTAGATGAAGTAATGGGTATGAAAGCAATCGTCATGATTGTTCGAGGAGTGGCTTTGCACAAGAATCAAAGAACAGGAGGTTTAAAACGACTGGGACCAATTCCACGAGTCGACGCCGATACCTTCATGGTTCAATCGGGAGACCAGCACCTGAATCATTCCAACAGAGAGACTTTGTTTGCATCCGATTTGAAAAACTTAAGCTTGCTACTACATCCTCCGTGTCTTCACCTTCAAACGCATAAAATGTCTTACGATTAAAATCAGTAAATTAAACTCAATATAAATTGAACTTTCCTCACCTGTCCCATATGTGAATGTAATAATCGAATCTGGTGTCCGGCAATGATGTCAAGTAATTTGCCTGTTTCGATGTGCCAGATCTCAACTGAGTCCAACGCAAAGGCTAATATATATGGGTATGACACCGAAATAGACTTCGGTATGCCCTTCCAAAAAACTGTCCAGTCTGGGCTTACATGCCATCCATTCCGGTTCACAAAGAATGAGAACTCGTCGTAGCCAAGAAGAAATTGGCCGTTAAGCCGTATAACGTGTAAAGGTCGAAGGTAGTTTTTCTGTGAAACGAACCTAAGGGAATTATCTGCCGGGTCAAGGAGAGGATAAATATCTGTGGTATGTAGATTGATGACCTGGAAACCATTCGTGCAGCCGATACACAGAGTTGACTTTAAAAAGTGCACAGACCAGCATTCTGCTGAAAACTGAAATGACTTTGAAATAATTTAGGACAGCAGTCATGTCAGAACGAGGAAGTTCTTACCTTAAACAGTGCTAAAGGTTCTTCGTCCCTTCTGTGGGAACTACCCGAAGAACTCGTCGGCTCAAAAAGCTTGACGGTGGTCGAGGATAGTGAAGTATTGACAGAGCATAGAAGCTGTCGACCCATGGCACTCCCAATTTTGAAGAAGCTCACATTATCTTGAATTTTCCATGGTCTACAAACCACGTATTCTTCATGTTCAATAGCATTCGTGAGGACTTCAAGCGGATACGTATTTAGTGTTCCGTTGGATAGGACCATAAACAGGCGATGCTCTTCCAAAATGTCCAACTGGGTAACGCCGAAGGTTAGGAGAATTCGCCACGGCTCGATATTGTCATTGCTAGGTCTTTGATCGATCAAATAAACTCCACTGTACGCGCCAATCAACAGGTGCTCACCCCCATCTGTAGAATGCATTAATCAATGGACCCAACGCAGACTTTTGGAGGGATGAAATGTACTGATTGGTAATAGACAATTAACACGGTCGGTTGCTGTGAATACACCTTTGTACACAATGGACTTGCAGTAAAAGTCGCGATTGAAATCAGTGTCTTTGTCATGCTTTTCCTGTGTCATATTGAGAACTTTGCCTCTGAATCCTTTGCATTGAAAAGTCAGAGACTCGGGAAGACGACATCTATCCTCATCACAGTCAGATATCTTTTAGCTGACCCCGCAAACCCCTTTTGCCGACTTCCCCAAGGCAAAAAGTGCAGCCAAATGTTACGCCATTGCGTCATCGAACACCAGTCATTTCCTGGTTCGGTAAGACATGCCTAAGACATGCTATTCGTGGCATCATGTTAAACAGTGGATCACCCGCAGTTTTCTGTTGGCCATCAGAATTGTAGGCCATGTTTTCTTTCCAAATTCCTTCTGACCAGGCCCACCCATTTTTAATTACAAATAAATTACATAGTGAAACAAAGTGATCCCAAAGCACGCAATTTTCCGACTTCTCATTGTGATCCATAGACATCTGGCCTTCGTCCGTTGCCCTTGGTTAATCTCCAATACAGCCTCAAGACCTTGCTTGGTGATCTTAGACCAAGGTTGTATGTAGGGCTATCTATATATCATCCAAGCGATGAATTTACTGAAGTGTTATGTGTATATAGCGTAGATGGTAGTCATCCGCACGTTTACTCCGTGTTAATATTACTAAATACACCCGCGCATCGTTGATTTTCAATGTGCGGACTATTTGGCGTGGATAATATAGATACGTTGTGCCCAAGTGTGAATTATGACATCTCCCTAACCATGATTTTAACAGCTACATACGCGAAGCAAAGTATCTAGCTTACTGACACGCAAGTCAAGGCTCAGACCAATGAAGTTTCTCCTGAGCCATTGGCCCACTTAAGGATTAAGGGGATGGATGCGGTCCAATAGTTTGCCTTGCTGGTAAGCCCGCGGGTGCTAGTGCGTTAAAGTGGGAAATCTATTTGGCTTTTGGTTCAATGAATCATCATTCACTTCCTCGGACAGCATTTTTCAAGCCAATTAAAGCTCATATATGTAGTAGGAGAGGCTTGGCAAGAACTTTGCGGAAACTCGGTGCTGAAAAATAAGGCTTAATTGGCTCGTTATTCCTCCTTGGAGGAGGGGCTGATGGGTTATTTTTAGCCCAACAGAGAGTGTTCTCTTGCTCACGCAAGAGTTTCCAAATTCGATCACGTGCTAAATGTGAAAGACGACTGCCCGCCACTGACAAGAGCAGACTGCGATAGGCTAGCGCTCATTGAGAGCGAATTGATTCCTTTGGTACAGTGGCCTCCCACGGTGAAGCTGCTTCTGTATGGACTTTGATCGGCCTGACAACAGAAATAATCACATTTACTGAAGAACAGATCAGTTTCTTCTCGGCTTTCGATTTCTTCCGGCCGGCCAATAGGTGGGTTTTCTCTACAAAATGTTTACTAAAAGGCGAATCTTCCAGATTTGTTTTTTGTCGATTTGATTAATTTTGTAGTAGAAAATTTTATCAGTCCTTGACGCAGCTGCTGGCTGACTTTCAGGATATTTTAGTGGTCTATTCCAATCTGGTAGGTTCGTATCCCTCGATCAGTTGATGCTATGTACTTTAATAACTATTGGCCTTCTAAAATCTAGAGCAGCAAAACCTAAGTATAAATAATTGGATTGTATTGATTTAAAGAAGAAAAAAATCGGGCTGATCTTTGAATTTAGTGAAGAAATATATCTTCTATAGATGTCTTTACCGCAGAAAAGTACACTGGTATCTGTTTCTGATTCAGAGAGGACTTCTCGGGCAGATAATGGTTTGTGGTCTAGATGGAGCCACGGGATAATCGATTTAGGGATACAAGAACTAGGTAGTTATAAATTTCTTAACTAGTTATTGTTTGATCCTAAAATAAACTTATAAAATGTATAGTATTGTGTATTTACTTTCGGTACTACAGAGATACAGGATATTTTGGTGATCAAAGCCCGCTCAAATTTTTAAAGATACTCCTGTCACAAATTCTGAAAGATGGTCAGGAAATCGATAAGACACATCTTGGTAAGATACTAGACGGGAAATTGCTGCATCCGGACGAATTCCTTCGGCACCGCATGCAAGCACAACATCATCAAAGCATTAAATGATTACAATTCTGGCACGCTTCCCGAAGATGATAAGAAAATGTTTTGATCACCTGACGAACACGATTTCCTATTTTGCTACTGCCAGATCTAGCACTGAATACTATAATACCATAAGCAAAACCCTGGGATGTTCACGGAAGACTCGTTTCCAGCATCTCGAGAAGAGAAGAAAAGAGCTAGCCAGCATAAGCTAACCAAATAGTATTTCATACTGTATGCCGCCTTTTTAGCGCTCCGAACTATGCTGTTTTCATCTTCATCCCAGACAAGGTGGCGCTTCTAAGTAATGTTTTGAATGGGGTTTGCGAGATACGGGAGCTATTAAGGTCAAGAATGGGAGGGGTTATATATACATTAGAGCCGCGGAAGGAGAATATGGTACAGGGTTTTCTGGTGACAGTACGTATATGTGCTTTGAATACTATAAAAACAACGACATGGCTACTTCCCGCAGAAAAACATTGCCCATAGAAACTCTGAACCTGTCTAAGCATACAATGAGGGAAGAAGAATATGAGATATTCCAAAGTAGATACCGAGTCAGGTGAGATCTTAGGGTTAACCGAGATTCTCGAGTTTCTCGTCCGTACCCGTGTTTTGCTCAGATACAGACACACCCCCGGCCGTTGCAGTGGACTTGCCTCTCATGCGTTCCCTGTGTGGCCGCGCCCGCATCCGAACAAGCAAGCAATTCCTAGACGAGCAAGATGTCGACATCATCAACTCAGTGCCAGTTTGGACTTCCACCAAGCCCGGTCTTTTCCAGAGAGGCGTACTACATCATCCAAGCCCTGGAGCACAGCACTTTTTTGAGTGGATGATAGGACAATAGGTCCTTTAGAGCTGAGATCATCTGCTAATGACCTAGCATCGGTTGCGTCACGTAATTTCTTTGCGGGCGTGGGCCGTAAGCCACAGCTGTTTATCTTGAAAATCAGAAGATCGATTTCTGAGATGTATGGAAGAGACCCCGGCCGGACAGCTGAAATAGGTACGGCCGCAGACGGAAGATACGGAGACTAGAGTTTGTTATTTTCCAACCCAAAAAAAGACTCCATATTCTGCTTACCTGCCAATCCGGTGTGATATCAACCTGGATATGTTTGCCGTTTGAGCTCCTGTAGAAAAAAAGCTGCGCCTGTTGTTGGAAAGGACTGGAGGGCATGGCAAGTAGTTTATCTTTAACTGTTTTTGGCGCTCCTTGAACTGTAATGAGGAAGTCGACGTCCTAGTAAGGGTTATGCCAACTTTCTTGTAGTGTTCAAACATAACTCTGGTGAAAAAAGCTAACCTCAGTAGTACGATAGCCTCGGAGATATTTCCAGAGACCTAATCCTCCAATAACTGCAATCTTGACATTCGAGAATTCCGACATCGTCTTTAGGATGTCAATGACAGAGCTGGCAGCAGCCTCGAGCTCCGCAAACGACGGCGCAGACATGATTTGGAATAACGACTGGTAGGTGATAAAAGATAACAAAGCTAAAACTTGAGAGCGTAGAGCAGGTTTGGGATGAAAGAAGAGGACGCTTCATGAGAGCTCATTTATATGTGGCGCTCTGAGGTCCCGAGGTTGAGCCGTCCTCGTTGGGAAGTTCCATTGCTTAGGGCGGGGAAGGTCATCTGATCGGCTTATCTGGCAGAGCACCAGTCACATCTATATATTAGACGCCGCGCACCCTTTACCTTTCTCATCTGAATCAGCTCGCGTTGCATGTTGCCGCCCATGACAAATATACAACTTCAGATCCTATCGGATCTCCACCTTGAGTCTCCAGCCGCCTATGATATTTTTAGCATCGTCCCCAAGGCGCCATTTTTGGCATTACTAGGAGACATTGGCTACGTTATGGATGAGGGGTTTTTCCCCTTCCTTCGCAAGCAGCTGGCGATCTTCCGGGTTGTCTTTCTGGTTCTAGGAAACCATGAAGCCTACCATAGTAGTTGGACGGAGGCAAAGTCTAACGTGGAAAGTTTCAAACACGATATAGATGAGACTTCTCGGAACGGCGAGGCGCTTGGAGAATTTGTTCTGCTCGACCAAACGCGCTACGATATCTCACCAACACTCACCATTCTCGGTTGCACGTTATTCTCACGTATCACAGAAGAACAAATAGAGAGCGTCAGCTTTGGTCTAAACGATTTTTATCACATTCGCGATTGGTCGATTGAAGCCCACCGAGAAGCACACATTGCAGATCTTTCCTGGTTGAATAAGGAAATCGACTCAATTTCGCGCTTGGAGCCTGACCGGAAAGTCATTATCTTGACTCACCATTGTCCTTCAACGCATCAAGAGGTCGTCGATCCCAAACATAGTAACAGCAAGCTTTCCTCTGGATTCATGACGGATCTATCAAATGAGCAATGCTGGCAACGTGAAATTGTCACACTCTGGGCGTTCGGACACACGCATTTCAACTGTGATTTCCAAGACTTAACGACAGGGAAAAGAGTAGTATCTAACCAGAGAGGCTACTACTTCTCACAGTCTACGGGATTCAATGCCGAGAAGGTCGTTGAACTTTAGGATACCTAAAAGAGGCTGTTCATTCCTTAGGCAATATCAACTTAGTAAAGCGGACCATTGGACTGAGATGATCCGAGTTGTGTCAGTCAATTTTGCTTGACTTGCGGGAGCCGCCGCTTTAGAAAGTCACGGTGGAGGTCCTTCAATATTGGATACATAGTTGGATCGCCCAGTTTTAGGGCATGATAAAACTGTTTATGCCCCTCTGTCAGACCTCCTTCATTAAGAATGTCCGTTCCATCAACGAACTCTAGCATATACGTCAAAATTGCCAACCAGTAAGTCTCGCGGGTAGTTCCGTAATCTCGACAAAGCAAGAGTATAAGAGCCTCACAGTATCTCGAGGGGCTAGGGATTCGGACGGAACTTAGGTGTGGAAAGCGCCCTCGACCGCGACCTAAAGTAGCTGGAGGAAGCCTCGCGTCAGACGCGAACATAATGTCCGCACTGGTGTCGTGGAAAGCAGCCTCAAACTCTGGAAATTCCCAAAGCACATCAGATTTTTTGTACAACAGTATCGCAAGCTCATCATCGATATGCAGGTGCTTATACGGTGGCTGGCATTGATTTGAATTTGAATGTGGGCAGTCTAGCTGTCGCGAACAGAGATGAAAGCCAGCCTCAGCGATGGTAGAGAAGGAGATTTCGCTAAGTGCATCGGGTACGACAAAGGACACGCCCTTCACAGTGTTAGTTATTTTCGAAACCCAGTCATTTCTGGACAGGACACTAACATCAACAACCGTCGGGACTCCGTAGACGGTTAACAGATAGTTGCCCCAAAGCAGATTCGGGATGTTAAAAGCGTCGAGAAGGGAAGATATTGATGTCACTAGGTCATTATCTAGATGTTGACCATTGAAGTGAAAGGTAGTCATTGCGGATGGGAGTCTGGACGATGGAAACAGCCGATGAAGCAGAATGCAGACACGGTCAGCTTTTTAAATGCCCGTATGTTTACTGCGGCTTGCGGACGATTCAGCACATGAGAGGGCATTGTCGTCGTTGGGACGCGACCATGTCCATTTATGGCTTAGCTCATTACTTAGTCATCCCGAGAGGACCTCGAATTTGGAAACGTAGTTGGCGTGGTAGACCTCGCCAAATGGCGGGTTGGTTTCGACACTTGATCCAAAACCCGCCAAGAAAAATAACTGACGGTAATGTATACGTGGTATGTTTGATATAATAATTATTGGCTTGGCCACGAGAGTCGAAAAAACCTGAGTCTTGCTTTCAATGTTTTGCGGATGAGAAGGAGCCTGATAACATTCGCTGTAGGAAGTTTCATGATACAGGATGTGTAACACAGCACTTTGATGTCATTCACATGAACGAAGAGCCATTCAAGTGCAAATGGTGTGAGGTGGTCATAGGTCCTTGTAGAAAATGTAAAGATCTGGTGACCCATTCTTGACAAGTTGTTCTAGCTGTGGGTTGAGGATTTGAAGCAGCTTCGTGTGCCTGGTGTTGGCCTGAATATCCTTACTAACATATCAAGCTGTTCCATATTCGATTTAACATAGTCCCTAGTCTATATTAGTAACGAAAGACATCAGCACTTATCTTAGCTCTTACTAGATTTTTCGATCGAACAATATCCCAAGTCCAAGTTCTTTCACGAGTTTGCTATACAGCCTGCCTCTATTAAGCTGCATGCTAATCCGGCTTCGCTGCAAACGTTTTTCCTCCGCAGTTATACTGGCAGGGCCACTTCTTGATAGATAATTGGACTCACATTCATGCAGAGTGACTATTCCCACTCCGATGATCCATCTGTTCTGTATTTGGTCCATTACATTACATGTATCGCCGCACCCCGGTGTCCCACTGGTTTATTCTTTTTTGTTGTGAGTGTTTTCTTTGCAAGCTCCAACTGAGAATTGTACCACTCCCAAGCCCCTATATATTCGAGCATGTTCTGTATAGTACGTCGGTCTTTACAGGAATCCCCCGTTTTAAGTATCCGTACCCACATCGAACTATCCGACCAATAGCTCTGGCTGGTAGATTCCGCGCTCGGTCCGGGTTGAACTAGTTGAAGCGATTGAAGGACTCGGATATGTACATCTGAGGGAACACCATCCTTATGTTTGCTAAGGTTGCAGAGAGTGTCGGTAGCTTTGACGATCAAGTACATAATGGAGCGTGGTTCGCGAAACAATCTCGTCGGTGTGGGTTAGCCGGTTGAAGCAATGCTTTCGAGTTCCTTTGCCATCCCGCGGGCCATCTGGGCACTTCCATACAGCACATACTTGGTTCTGAAGCGTCTGGGCGTTTTCGTAGATACAATCTCGCAATTCTTTATTTGTTAAGTGACCCTGAAGACCTGCAAGGATGGATCTAATTTCCAGATTAGGTCGTCCTAGTGTCTCCTTGACATCACTCTTTCGCTTGAATTCATCAGTGTATTGTCGGCCAAAATCAAACTGAATCACACTATCGCTGATAATAACATCACCTAGTACAATATTAGCGTTACTAGGTGGGAATGGAACACCCCCACAGATCCCAGCCACCGGAGTCAGCTGAATGTGTGTGTAGCTGATTCGGAGATTTGCTGCAAAGTCCGCTGCACTTTCTGTTCCCATTCCTGGTAAATAGCAGAGGACAACATCATGATAACCTATTATTTGAGTGATGTATGCGTTTGTATCGCGGGGATGTTTGCTATATCTTGTACCGAATTTATCATAAGTCTCGTCAAACAGTGCTTCAAGAGCATCGGCCTCTAGAGTGAAGGCACAAATTATGCCGATCTCAAATCCATCGCGGTCTGCTGGACGCATCGGGAAAGGTATTGGCAATCTGCCATTTACTCGGTGAAGATGTCAGCTTCAGTTCTGATATCATATATGATCACTTATATGCGGACGTACCTATTTTTTCCCAACATCATGGCAATAAATGGAAGGGCATCCTTATTGATATCAAGTGGCAATGATACAATGGCACCAAGTCGATCGAACCCCTTGAGTCGCATAATAGATCCATTTCCGTAAAAACACTAGCCGCTAATTGGTGAAATCAAGATAAGCGAGGCTGTGGTCATTGCAGCTGCAAGCAACGGGCGGAGTGGGACTAGAGTGGTGGCTCTTCTTGTTGAGAGGTTCGGAGATGAGATTGATATAATCGATATGGTGCTCCAGGCTGCTGCACAGAATAATGGAGTTGGAGAAAAAGTGATGACCACGCATGCCTTTGGTCTGCAATGCCGCCGGGCTGAGTTGACTCTGCCGATCCTCAACGTAGAGGTACCAGTATTGGCCTCACCACTCTTATTGTACAGGCATAAGTAAGACGAAGAAATTGTATAATACCAGATCATGAGTATCTCGATTGCGAATGACAGTCTCAATTGACGGGCTACCCACAAATTAGCAGATGCCATTGGTCAAACTATCATTTGATGATTTGTCATGGGCTGCAAGTAACTAATTAAGTAGTGCGCATGGACACATCGTAGCTGACGGCCAAGAGGTCATCTGACAAGAAAGAGGATCTCTCAATTGCTGGTAAGCGCTTGTTCCTTCCCACAACCCCACGCTTTCCCCATCTATCAAATCTCATGCTCGTTCTATCTCAATGGGTATAACAGAAAGTAGATTGGTTGGGCAAAAACTGCTCTCAGCATGCCAAGATGCAGAAAGAGAGGGCAAAGACAACCTCGATGGTAGCGCTTTCTGGAAGGATCAAGTTGGTTTCCCCCATCATGCCTGGCCGCGAGCTAGCTAACATTCCAGGATATTTTGAATGCAGCCAAAGTAGTATTCGACGGCGTTCCACGATGCATGGGCGCTCCCAAGCGTCGTTCTGCCGTTGTTAAAGCTATTACAGGATCCGAGTCAACAATAAGCGTTCCCGAGATCGTTCAAGACTTGCAGGAGAAACGACAAATTCTTTTCCCAAGACCATGCGATTTAAGTGAAAGTAATCAACATTCGGCTATCTATACTCGTGCTATGCCAGTGTCAGGATACACGCTATCAGAGTGTTATCATGACGTCGCCACACTTGAGAAGCAGCATGGACTCAATAGAATTCGCTTAAGAATCTTCTATGTTCTTTTTTACCGTGTCAAACGTGCAGTTCAACCAAGAAGCCATTCAAACGATGCAACCATGTTCCTGGCAGAGGTCATCAGCAGGTCTGATTTAGTCAATGAGAAGTTAGAGCAAGTTAAAAAGAAACTTTCTGCATGGATCGATCGTGGCCACCGATACGAATTATTAGCAAACGATCTTGGAGGCCTGGGCAGTTTATATCTTCTCCCTGAGTATATTTCTGACTATGTGTATGTGCCTGCCTTTTTATTTTATCATGATGTTTTCAAAGCCTCTAACACCAATTCCTGTTGTAGGTGGACGAAAGAACTTCCTAAATCAGCACACAACCCTGACAGAATTGCGATGATAATGAATCTCAAGAAAAAGAACATCCATGAGGAGGCGGCGAGCAGGAATTTACATACTCTAGCAGAAAATGAAACCGCAACAATATGGGGATCAGTCCAAGATTCTATTAATGAGGAGATTAATCGGCAGCTTTCCAATCCATATTCACTAAAAAGCAACAACCGGTCGCTATCATCTGCTGGTGCGTTTCTCCTTTGCCGCCGCCCCCCTCCTCCCGTATTCTCTGGTCAACACCGTTTCCATTTCTAACGGAGAGTATAGATCAACATTTATCAGCCTTTCCTTTAGATAGACAAATGAATCGTACAAGATCCCCGGGTCCCCAGCGCCTTGAGCCATTTGGTGTGACTTTGGCAATAGCATGTCAGTATTTGGCCCCTGTTTCCTTTGAAACCAGAGTACACTACTAAGGGTTTCAAAACTATAGCTGACAAGGGGCGTCGAGAAGCAACCGCTCCTCTTGCCTCTGCAGAAGGACTATCAAACCTCGTCACATGTCATTCCCATGAACCGGTGAGCGGTAGCAAACGACAAAGTGAATCCCAAGGATCTAGCTTAAGAAATAAACGTATTCTTGCGGATCAAGGTATATTACAGCTGAATGGACTTGATCAGCGCGCAGACCGGATACCAGGGAATAACACAGGCCCTTCTAACCCATGCTCTTCTTCGTCTACCACACAGTCGAACGGATCGAGTTCGCTGTTGCAACAATCAGACTCGACAGACTGTAGAAACGAGCACCCACCGACTAATACACGGCGACAAACAACTCACGAGGATTCTGGCACTGTCTTTGACTCTTCTACCCAAGTAAACATACCCCCTTCCTTCAACATTCCCGAAACGGCTGGAACGCAAGCGACTTTAGTGGAGGGCTCTCCAGCGCCCCCTGGGGGACGTATTTCGAACAATCACAATGGTCACGCTATCTCATTACTGCCACTAAGTATGGAGTCCGAACATCATGGAAATCCTCCGCGGGCAGAACTTGAAACAGAGACAAGTACGCGCTACGATACAATATCCAGAAATCAACCGGATAGCATGGCTGAAATGTCGCGATCAACTGAATCATCCCATGGGTGCTCATTAGAAGCTCAATGTTCGAGTGGTCAAACCCATCAGCTGAACGATGGACGGAACACAGCCGCAAATATTGAGGCCGGAATCTATCGGGATGATAGGCACGGTCTTCGTCACATCTCAAGTGTCTCACCCATGGCAGAGATTTCATATTTTCCAAACTCTGACTCGGCCTGGTTCTTTCCCAATTTCGATTCGGGCTGGACGAATGCTGACGCACTTCCTCACTTTTTCAATTGGGATAGCAATTTCCAGCCGTTCCCGATGCAACTTTAAGCAATAGCAATAGCCAGAAGGATAGGCTGTGGAATACTATTCTCACGCATGGTTCTTAAATATATTTATTCGGATTTGAGAGACGATGATACAGCCTCGCAAAGAGCGATACCTTCCCCGGATGTCACATATTCTATCGTCAGGTTGGCTACAAAGAACAACACATCCCTTGGGCGAAGTTTGAGCGTCTTTGATTCGGCTCGCTTTATTTCCCCGGCCGTCATCCGGTGAGATCGAGGGACTATTTTGAAAAAGCCATTCTCAGGATAAAGGCCAGCGCGAGTAGCTGCTCTATATACCAAAACTGTCCCAGGCGGTCCGGGTACAAAACGCCCAATGCGATTCTTATTGAATGTCATGACTCTCGTGTCGCCGATCTTTCGAGCAGAGGAATATGAGCAGCCTAAGTATGTTTGGAACCAGGCTTCTTCCGGTAACTTAAGTGGTCAGTTAAAATCATTACATGTAAGATCGTAGCATACTTTCACCCCATAGCCCATCAACTCGTGGCATTTCGGACCGCAACCCTTCGGCGACGAGTGTTCATTATGAGAAACTTCCTCTGTGACGGCCTGAATTAGGTCATCTGACGGCTCATCGCCCGGAACAATAACAAAACCTTCGTCGCTTTGCATAGTCAATTCGATAGCGGTGTCTTCCTCGAGTGATGACGAGGACTGAAATTTTGGGTGGTGATAAAATGTTGGGTGCGGGGCAAATAGCCACCTCGTGGCTAGTGAAAGCACTGGTAGCCTCACACCTGATCGGGTTGTGACGGACTTGGTCGGGTCGGAAAGTGTTCGTAGTGAGCTTGGATTTGAAGCATAACTTGGCCTTTGGACATCTGTTAGAGTTGAAAGCACACTGGCAGAGAGGGTGAAAGCCTGTCCAAAAGTGTGTATTGCCGTAGTATGTTTGAACAGACTACAGTTAATAGAGTTACGCTTTCCCACACACTGAAAATCTCGTCAGCTCTCGACTGCTGGAGGGGTGTAGAACGGAAAATAGCGGTAATCATTACTAATTCTTCTCGAGCCTATTCCAAATTTGGCAAAATTAATTAACTAATGCGGTTACCAGTCAGTCAACGCGTAGCAGTCCTAATTAAGGAAACCTCAGGCACGAAATCATCCTCGCGTCCCCAGTCGAACAGTCTTTAGCGGACAAATCCATTCCACTGGGACCCGGTCAAATTTGCCACATGTACTGGGATGTGACTTAACTTTCTGGTTTACATCTTTATCTACACAGCATTTGGAACGTTGATACCAGACATTCAAAAACATGAACTTCCAACCATCCACGTGCATCCAAGACTATATATATAATTAAGTGCAAACTGGTAAAAGATCTCCAGAGCCCACTCAAGGCAAGAATGGGGACTAATGACGTCCCGCATTTGTGATCAATGGGTAGAGGCACATGAAAGAAATATTTTTGTACATGAACTGATTTCTGGAACAGAGCAGAACCCCTGGAATTTGACTTCTCACATTTGGTAGGGCCAGAGCTTTGTATATAACTCCCTCTCGGCTTCATCTTTAGCCAACCCAATAAATATGTCCTTGAATTTGCGACTATTTTGGCTGGTAATTTCGTAGTCTTCTGGGTCCACCATTCCATCGATTGGTAACACACCCTGGTCACGAAACAATGCAAGTATGCGTCCAACCCCATCAATATTATTTTCCTCTTTAGAGTGAAGGTTGATTTCCTCGTCTGTGAACTCGATCGGACAGGGTAATTGATCCTCTGCAAAAATTTCATGCCAATGAGTAGCGAGGGATAGAAGTGACTGACGCAGGAAGAAGAGGTCTCGATTTTGCCACACGCCACTTACAAGCCATACAGGTTTCCTGAGTATTGGAATCGATGATCCGTGAAGTACACTCCAGTGAGAAGGTGCCCGTTTGCAAACCTGAGCCTCATAATATTTATGTATGGTCTCACTTTCCAAATCATTATCAACTGTCCTTTTCTCGTCTTCACTGAGGGTGTCGAAATGTTCAGGCCGTTCTGGTACAACCCAACCCTCTCGAACAGGCCCAGGATGTCGAAACATCCTCGGAACGCCTGACTGATAGAATAGAGGAGCAACACATGCAGATTGCCAGTCCACAATGCAGGTAATCTCATATGTATCTGGATCTACAAAGACATTGTCCAGATGAAGATCAGGGTGCCAGATCACTTTGGACGTCGCAGCTTCATGGATCGGCGAAGGGATCAGATAAGGTGCCACCTTCATGTACTTGGCAAGAAGAGCAAGGCCATCACCAGGAAACTCTTGCTCTTTATCCGACCTGTAATAATTCATTCGAGGGCAAGCGTGTGATTCGATCCACGCAATTTCATTTCGACCGAGTGCTTGTGTATACTCCTGTGGGTCACACCCTTCCCAGACATTGTTAGCAACTCCACCTAAATACTAGATATACATTTACTCACAGGGACCTCGGTCTAATCTCATATTTCTCCTAGTACCCTCCCACAGTTCAGAGGACGTTAGTGGCCCGATGGAAAAGCGCTCGAGGGATTCAGTAGCGGCGGATTCGATTTTAATGTCTTCTGCGTACCCAGCCAATGAGCGAAGGTCGTCTTTGAAATAGATGCAACCGTGTCGAGGAAAGGATATAGTAGTCAACCTATCCTCTATGTCGACAATTTGTCGGATGAGTTTTAGCTTCGCTTCCTGTGACCATTGGCTCCAGACAGAGCCAAGTCTGACTCCTGGCGCCTTCTCTGTAACAATATATTCCGCCTCGACGGGGTTAGTTGCTGCGTCGAAGGACCATGCAAGAATTCGTGGAACAGGAATATTAAAAACATCACGTAGCTACCACATTCATCATTATGTTATCCGAAACGTGAAAAAAGGGCATTCTTACCAGCTCGTGTGTAGCGACCTCAGAAGCTGTGGTGTACCCCGTAGGCCCAGCATTTGGATTTGGGAGCTTCGCAAATACCTCGGCTCCATTGTCCATCCTTAAGACAAATGCCTTGTTGTGTAGGCCTTCTGTGCATTTAAGGACCCTGGTGCCTATAGACGATATTAGAGCACGACTTGTAGTACCGGAATCAAGGCGTACAATATCGACCACCCTCACTAGCTTTCACAGCAACATCGATAAGCTGCTGCAGATTGAACTTTACATAGCGCTTAGAAAGCTCTTCTTTTTCATTGAATCTTAACAAACACTGATGAGCGAATGCTTGCTCCAAAGTAGTAGAGTTACATACAACCATCGGTGTCTTGTATATCTGAATAAGTCCTCTTGAGAGATTTTGTTACCTTGCAAAATTATTAGTTGATCGGTTATCATAAAATGCAGGGGGTTCAAGATACAGGTTCCATTGGATCTTTCAATGCATAACTCCGGTCGGTGATATCCTGATCCACCCGCTCGCGAACGCAACGAAGAGAAGAAACTCATAGCCTGTTTCCGTGGATAGGAAGGTTTGGTTTGGTAATTTTTCAAAAAGGTCTGCTTCCAGGGAGACATGCACATGTTGTTTGCGACTGTATTCGCTAACAGTTATTAGCATTCGTGTTTAGCAAAGGGTGGGAATGGCTTTTGGGATGGAATCAAGGCTCTGATTCGGGATTACATTATCCCGATCCTGCCAACCTCCGAATACCCACGTTTGAGTTACATGAAGCAAGGGTGTGCTTCCCCGTATTTGCTGGGTATTAAAATTACCGGCTTGATCTAAGATCAAAAGTTACGATCTATCTCTGGTGTATATTTTTGAGGCGGTTGTGGCAACGGCTCTCCCTAGCCAGCCATTGGTGAGACCCACCCGAGGTCTCCAGAATGTAATCTAGCCGCTTTTGTCTCATTTCGAAGGCCCCTTCAAACACCAGAGAAGCTCAATACCACGAGAATATCGAATCTAGAAACTGATTCGACGAAGTAAATTTATCTACGCGCCCTACGCGGACCACGACGTAATAGTTTTATGTAGATGTTATATGGGTGATGCCCCGCGGCATTATCTTATAAATGCTTTGTCCTCGCTCGCCCAGAGAATCTGTTTATTTAGCATTAGAAAACTTTTTCATATTCTCATCGCAGCGCCAAATATACTTTTTCTTCTTTAAGATACCAAGTACCCCTAGCAATCATTTCTTGAAGCTCGTCGAGATGCCGTGGAAAGTAGTTCTCAATGAGCTATCCCAAGCCGTCCGAAACAACGTGGACAAGATCACGAAAATGTTGCCTGAAAACATGACGACAAGGAGCAATGCCGTGAAAACACTTGACCTTCGAGTCGATGTTCATCAGGACTCGAAAGATCCAAACAAGGCAGTGGCTAAAATCCAAGCGAATGCACAAGCCAAAGATAATGCGGTCAAGGATTACATCAAGTCCGGAAACAAAGGTGGCGGTCACAAAGGCACTCACAAAAACATCACGGAAATACCGTTCGATCGCACCTCCTTCGATGTTGATGACTTTACGTCCAAGATAGAAAATGCGCGGAAATAGACCAAGTAACGTGGTGTGTATACAATGCGATCCATGACAAACAGCCTTTAGCTCACTACCTAGTATTAGTTTGTTCTATCGGCCCACAACGCATGAGCGGCGAGTTTCAGTTGCAGCTTTTACACTAATCGCGAAAAGAAAGAATCACTCTACAACGCTACTGAGGCTATGGGGAATTGTGATTAGTTTCAGAATGGGGTTCTTAGGATTTTAGTTATATAAAGGTCTCTTTATTACAAACAAGATATGTGATATTTTCATAACCCCAGCTCGCTTTTACTCCTACTATTCGTAGTCGACAGCCTAATTCCCCAAAAGTTGAACAAAATATCTATGAATGTTGAAATGTAAGCAGCGTTAGGGTTGCATGTTGTCATGATACGCTAAACCGTTTTTGAATGAACTGTTCTGCGCAGAACAGTTCATTCAAAAAACGGTTTAGCGTAGCTCGGATGTCTTTCAAGCTAATCAGGGCACGGACGTATAGTGCCAAGTCCTTTCCAGGATTTGCACAAGGTGATCATAACAGCGAGACTTCTTGGACGTGTCCTAGTTAGACCGAGTACGTTTGATTTCTGTGGGGTCGATTGACCCTTATTTTTGCTCTGCCTACATTAATTTATAGTGTATAGAGAGAGATAAGCTTTTACTTGGCGGTGTTATTTTGTGTTGTTGGAATGGGGACTACTGCTCAATGGATGAGGTTTCTCGAGACATAGACGCGTGCTGCCAGGACATGCATGACATATGTGATATTGTTGCTCGTCACTCTGGAAGATGTATTTTGTTTTAATAATGTGTGGGAGCTAGTCAAATTTATTTCTCTTTAGTACAGTAAGAATTAATGATCGAAGACTATTCATCTTCCTGCACGACCAGATACCTTGATATGGCTGGTCAACCTGATCAAGACATGGATAGTTTTTGGAATATCTGCTAGTCGTCTTGAAGTGGCTAGATTAAAATATATGCTGTATTCGTATACTCCTCCGCAGCTCGACAAGTAACCATGCATACAAGGTATTCTGATCGTTTTTCGTGTGAAGCAGGTGACATCCAGTTCGATTGTACAGCCGATATCCTTTAAATTTAGGCATGCAATGGATCCTATTTTAGGCATGGTGAATCATATATGTTTGAAATATCTCGCCCTGATATTTTCTCAAACACCGCTAGTGAGAGAAGAAGTTTTGCTGTAAGTTAGCTAACTGCCATTTGAGTAGTAAGCTGCTGGCTCATAGTAGCAGGCCCCTGAGCTATGTCAAACCAGGAGCCATTTGAAGCTTCTATTGTTGGTTCGTCATTCAAAATCCAGCATTACAAGACTGGCCAATACCAACTTGGAACAGCGGCGCGCCGTTTGTTTCTTCCTCTTGAAACGCTACTATCCTGTAATGAAGGGGTCATTGCTCTTCTCGAATATGGAGAAATCACACGAGCCTTTTCTAGTCTATGAAAATATTTTTGTCTAGAAAAGGATTGGCCCTTGCAGCAGGCAATAATAGTCAGCTTTGAAGGTGATCGGGCTACTCTGACATATGAATTCAACACAATCAATGTATCGGGAGAAGCGCTGCGTAACTCTTATGCCGGCAGCATGCTACTGGACCCAAGGAATGGTACTAGGGCGGTTATGGCTAAAGAACTCTATGCTGGGATGCAGAAGAACCTTGGCCGCACTGTTAGAGGTATTGCACGGATGATTCGTCGGTGGTTGTGGCGACTACCTATCAGATGATGTATATAACTTTCTACATGGGTATTATCATGGGGGGTAGGACTTCACGTTAATCAAGATCATAATTGTTGATCGTAAGTCGGTTTACACTAAGAATCATGTTTTCATCCTAGACCATCTAGGCCTGGACTCCGTTCTATGAGATATTTTCAAAACCACCTGAAGTAGGTTACTATAGTTAAAATGGGTCAATGATTATAGTATAAGGACAAGCATGGCTCGACTGCTCACCGCATGTTCTCCGGAGCTAGCTTATTCTGAATATCACTATCGTTTGGTTTACTCTTACCTTCTACCAATCTTCGACAGGATTGGCCATCCTTCCCTTATGGCTTGCACAAACCTTCAAAGGATCGCAATGTCTTGGCTATTTGCAAATCTGTTTCCCACGGTATGCCTTGATCGGAACAGCAAGACACCTACACCTCCTGGTGACGAAGATATCAACCAATACGGATATGTACCGCCGAGAAGCATGCGTCCGTTTCCCGCGAGGACGACAATAAACCCAGTGTCTCGTGTCCGTCTCTCAAACGAACAATTGTTGGATGCAGCAGAGAAGGAATGTCCTCCAGTATCTAGTCTCAACGATCGAACGGTTGAAGGGGTGGGGGCACTGAAATATTGGATAACTAAAATGTATTGGAGTAACGAAATAGAGGGGGAAATCTGTGTGGTGCGTCAAAAAACAGAGTGGGCAGACGCAAATGGTGTGGGTATTACGCATAGCCGGTGTGAGTTTTTCCATTATCCTCGAAAGGATTTAGAGGGAAGCTCTGTTGGTAAAAATCTGGTATTGAGTTTCAAACAAACACGGAAGCAACTGAAGAAGCAGGAAGAACGGGCGTTACGCTACGGAAATGTTGATGATGGGGACGTGCTCATACTCCCTCAATGATGTACATATCTTTATAGTGCAATTTCTAATTCAATCTATGATTCGTTCCTCGTTGATCAATCCCAAATTTTATTCAATACAAGCCCTGTAGGCATAAACAGACATCTCAAACATTGCAGAACGAGGTCTCAAATTCATATAGCTGGAGTGATTCCCACTTTTGGATTGAGTATCCAATTTCCTGTGTTCAGATCAATGCCAGTGCCAATGCCTTGCTCACGGTTAAATGTGCCACCTGTCGAAGACCTAATATCTCTTTTCTTGCTCTTTGCAATCGCTATCTGGCTCTTCATTATAAAGAAGAGGTCTCGTCAATGGACCGATAGGTGGGTTTCTTGTCTATGTAAATACTCAACTACTAATACGCAATTACACTAAGACAGCAAAGACATGAAGGAGATTCCATTAGAGAGAAAAAGACTCGATAAGAAATTCAGCTCCCCTAACTGCGAATTAGACTCCAAGGTAGGCTGCTTAGGATTTCAGCTATTTAGAAGCTCGCTAAGTAAAGATATTAGAGGATAAGGAAATATGCCCCTCATAATCGCCACTATTCCAGTTCTCGATAGCATCGGTGTTCAAAAATTGCTTCGGAGTACACACAGAGTTGTACCAAATTAAGATGGAAATTGTACATGGGGAAGAGAATAGTTTACTTCTTACTGTTTTGTGAAGGCGACCATTATCATCACAATCAAGGGTTTATTTTATTTTATTTTATTTCTTTTAAAAAAAGAAAAGAGAGAAAGTACCTCTTAGACAAGACGCACCAAAGGCCGAAGTATCCCATTGCTTTCCTGCACGGCCCCTCTCATGGGAGTTACCTTAGGGCTCACTCGGGAAAGATCCTATCTCCTCGTGATGGGCGCCTGGAATATAGGTTCCGTGGTTGGATTCATGTCGAAGTAACATCCAGCCTGGCAAGTCGACTATAGAGATCGAATAATAATTACATAGGGCACGACTGAATATTAGCTACCTGCCATTTCTTGTTTCGTGGTCCGATGTAACTGTAGATCACAATATTAGAGCCCGAAGCCACTAGTACTTGGATGTTATATACAATACGTTTCACCACAATTTCCAACATTATATACTACGTATGAATTAGAGTGAGCAGTATAAGGAGACATTGCTTGTCGCATTCGAGTCTATCTATACCATTTCAATAAGCCTAGTATGTTTTGCATCGAATGCCACAGAGAGAAAATTAAGGTAATGTTCTTAAACTTACTGTATAATGTCATAACTAACTAATGCAGTGCTCTTTAAAGCGGCCTTGGTCTCGGTATGCAGTTTCTGGAAGGAAGTGCATACACCAAGAAAACATTTCAAGTTCGGCTTCGGAGCTTATATCGCCTATTGCATCTGTCCAAGATCTGATGGGCTTCTACTCTAAGCATTGTCCAAGGTCTACCCATCTACCAACGCAAGGAGCCACCATGGAATCAGATTTCTTATATCCGGAGGTCGCTACTCAATTTCAGTAGGTAACTTCTAGCATAAATTGTTTCTCGGTTACTGATGATTGCTTGACAAGGAGGCTTGTTATTACCCGAGGGCCGCCAGATTCATCATGGTGCATGACGCATCTACAGTTTTGCATTTCTGGTTGGATGGGATTGGAACGTGTCTCTCGGCTCGATCAAGATACAGTTCAGTTGTTGACCACGTTTCTCCTGACTTCTATCGATCCGATTTCTTTTCTCCTGGGACTGGGGGTCGAGATTATTCTCTGGGGCCAGAGAATATGTAACTCGATAGATCTAAAGCCGCAATGTATTGCACAAGCTTTACACGGGATCGTCACAAGGAATGTTCGATGCAACAAGGAGACAATGCTTTTCGTGACTGCTTGTACAGCAAAGGAAATTTTAAATCTTGATTTGCCAGAAACGGAAGAAACAACAACGCTGCGGCGATTCTTTAGCGAGATCATTGAGATCAATACCTTTCCATTTCGACCCAGCAACGAGCTTCGCGAGTATACAAGGCTAAGGTCCCAAACGTTTGATCATAACTCATCCATGCGTCTCGCGTTTCCAGCACCAATCAATGTTTGGCTTGCCCTTCATGATATTGAGGCTTTAGCTCTCCGAGTATCAAGTACCGAAGTCTTGTCTCAATATGATACTTCTCTCATGCTTCAGCATGAACTTCAGTCAACTAGCAGTTTCCTACTAATACTTCTCAGAGATCTGTGGGTCGAGTCACCGAAAGCCCTCAAGTGTACCGCTGAAGGATTTAATGTCTATGGACAGATGGTGATGGTAAGCCAAGGTCTAGAGATGGCGGTTAATATTGGACGACGTTCTGCATTTTATGATTCCTTATCTGTTCTTCGTCAATCATTGGCGCTGCAGA